GCCGGCTATCTGGGATTGAACCCTGGGTTATGAGTAGAGTTTTGGCTGCAGTGCTGCAGTTGAACCACTGCACTGCTTAGGGTTGCATACGTAGGCAAATAGGGGAATCGACATTCACGTAACCTTAGATGAAGAAAGGTGGCCCTTCCAAGTGCGATTAAAATGCCTTTCTCCTTATCCACAGTCAGACAAGCCAATGAAGGAGGATTATGGGAGTTGAAGTCCAGCAGTTTATAATGGGACCACATATCCCCTCTCCCTGGTCTACGTATCGCTTTCAAAGCCATAATTCTCCAATTTCTACATTTCAGGCTTCCGCTTTTGGCCCACCTGCCGCAAAGCACCAAAAAGTAGAAATAAGAAGTGCTAGACGATGATTAATCACTATGGTATACTTTGAACAGGTGTCGTCTGAGCCTATGGGTTTTTATTTGGATGTGGGCCTTATTGAGTTCAGAAAGGTATACAGTATTTGGAAGCCAGGGGTCATAGTTCAAAAGTTAAATGTTTAGTGTTCGCGTGATACAGGGCTTAGAATGTTGGACTGGGATCAGGGAGATCCTGAGTCACCTCCATCCTGGGATGCCCTCTCAGTCTCTCAGGGCCGTTGCTAAGGATAAAGGGAAGCAGAGGACTGTGTATGCAGGTTTTGCTCACCAAAAGCAGCCTATAAATGCAACTAATGGATACAGTGGGACCCCTGTATCCATGGGGTATCGGTTCCAAACCACCCCAGCAGATACTGAAAAAATGTGGATTATAGCAAACACTGTACAGTGGGGTCTTGACTTGAGAACTTAATCCGTATTGGAAGGCAGTTCTCAAGTCAAAAAGTTCTCAGGTCAAATCTGCATTTCCCATAGGAATGCATTGAAAACCATTTGATCCGTATCCGCTCTTTTCCGTCCATAGAAATTAATGGGAAGCTGCTATTCCTCCTTCAACCACTAGAGGAGGATATTTTGTTTCTTTTTTTCTTAGGTCAAGTTCAGGGAAGGCAGGGAAAATACAGTCCAGGCAGTACAGTGGACCCTTGACTTACAGAATTAATCCGTATTGGAACAGTGGCTGCAGGTCAAAATGTCTGTAGGTCAAGTCTCCATTGAGCTACAGCGCATTGAAAACCGATTAATCCCGTAACAGGCCGTTTTTGTTCCATTTTGGTTTTTTTCTGGTCTGTAAGTCAAATCTCAGTCTTCAAGTCAAATCTAAATTTTGCGGCCAGAGAAGTCTGTAACTCAAAAAGTCTGTAAGTCAAGCCGTCTGTAAGTCAAGGGTCCACTGTACTATACATATAGCGAATACTGTACTATACATAGCTTGGTCTGCCGCCTCCTAGTGGCCAATTCTGGTAACTTCATCTTTGAAAATCTATACAGTATTTCTTGGATGTGGGTCTTAATATTTTTAATATTATCAGACAGGGATAAGTGAATCAGAGGATAGTGATCCGGCAGATAAGTGAGTGTTACTGTACTGCAATATAAATCATAATCATTGAACTATTACAGATTAAAAAAACAGAACTCAGGGCAAGAAACTGTATTTTAACGTCAGCAGCACCCCAGTTATGCATTTACGGCTTCTGTAAGTGGAAAACAGTGTGATCATTTAAAAGGCATCTTGATGCTTTACTGACATGAATGGAACCTGTCCATAAATGGATCTAACTCTCCATGTTCAGGCAGACTGAAAGAGGTCAAGGGAACAGTGGCCTCGCTGTGGCCCGTCTCCCAGAGAGCTTCTGGTTCCTGATCAAAGAAGTGCTGAGCCAGCCATTCTCTTGTCCTCTTGGCTTTGCAGCGGGGGCAACATGGCTTCCTGAACCAATAGCCTTGTTTGGCCTCTCTCCTCTCATGGCTGCAGACGCTGACACTGTCATCTGTCCGGCTCCCCTCATCTGTCTGGCTCCTTTGGCGACTGGACCCCTTTGAATTGAAAGTTCCCAGGTCAGAGGAATTTTGGTCCCGGAAGGCTCGCTGGGTGGTCTTGGGCTGGTCCTTTTTTAGTCGCTTCCTGACAGAAGGTGAGCTTGAGGGAGCTTTGGGACCTGCTTTCTCTTTCCCTACAAAGAGGTTGAAGCCAGAAACGGGGTCTAGCAAAAGGAAAGAAAATGGTTACAGTATTTTTGAGTGGATTTCGGGATAAGATAATAATAATAATAGGGATGTCTTTCATAGGGAAAGAAAGAAAGAAAATCCTTGTGCATTATCCAAAGAGAAGGGTGGGTGATACTTTTATTAGATTAGTAAAATCTTATGCACAGAGGGTAGTTTTCAACTCTACCTCTGTTTTCCTGCAGCTGGGAATTACAGAGCTGGGGGTGACACAGAAAAACCAGCCTGTTGCTATATGCCACTCAGTCGGAAGCAACTTATAGTGACTCTAGAAGGACTTTCAAAGTAAGTGAGATATTTAAAGAGTGTCTTTACCAGTTTGAGTTTCCATGGCTGAGTGGGGACTCGAACCCAGGCCTCTTGAGTCCTAGTCAGTCACTCTATCGACTACTACAGAGGTCCCCAACCCCTGGTCCGTGGCCTGGTACTGGTCCGTGGCCCGAGCTGGACCAGGCTGCGAAGACAGATCTCCCGCCCCACCCCCAAACGCACTCACTGCCACAAAGGCTGCGACTGTGCGTGCACTCGTGCACATGCGTGAACATCAGTGTGGCACCTGTGTGGGCGCACTGAATGCTCATTACCCCCAATACAGTGGGGTCTTGACTTGAGAACTTAATCCATATTAGAAGGCAGTTCTCAAGTCAAAAAGTCTGTAAGTCAAGTCTCCATAGACCTACAGTGCATTGAAAACTGATTAATCCCGTAACAGGCCGTTTTTGTTCCATTTTGGTTTTTTTTTTCTGGTCTGTAAGTCAAATCTCAGTCTGCAAGTCAAACCTAAATTTTGCGGCCAGAGAAGTCTATAACTCAAAAAGTCTGTAAGTCAAGCCGTCTGTAAGTCAAGGGTCCACTGTAACAGTTTTTCTCTGTCAAAAAGCCATACAACTCTGACAACCTGTTTTGAACTTATGATGAACCCATGAATTAATGATTTCTGAAGGGTTCTATCATTAATAGTTCTTGGAAAGTTAAAACCACAGTTTCAGGTCTTAAATCAATCCACCTCAAATTAGGTCTTTTCCTTT